ATGAAGCTAATTTATGAACCTTTAATATGACATTGATCATTGATCTCTTGATGGCTTTTTTTCTTTTGGATTATAGGAAACCCAATCAGTGACTTGGTACGATAGGTCACCGATACATCCTGTTACAGAAAAACACATTATTCCATCCTGGATATTCACAGATTTATTAGCCTCTAACGAGTAGAACATGCTTCAAAATGTCACTTGAGTCCTATAGCTAATACAGGCAAAGAACAAAAACAATGTAATGCCTGCAGCACGGTTCTGGAAAGACAAAGAATCCTTTATTCATTGAGCTTAATAGAAAGAGCAAATAGATGTATCATATTAATACCAACCATAATCTACTATATCAGTATTTCTTGTTTGTTGAAGAAATGAATCCTTCTGGCTAGAACTCTATATCTTGACACAACACAAATCTGCTGATTAGATTCAACTGTCATCAAGAAACCAATACAGTTGATGTTGACAAAATGTCTGCCATGAAGTAATGAAGTTAGATTTTTTACCCAAAAAAATATACCATACTTCCCAACGGCCCTTCATCGAGGAAATGTGAAGAATCTAAAAGAAAAATTATTGTCTCTCATTCACACAGATTTTATAATTAGCATGCACAAATGTTGAGGTGAAAAAACATTTTATAATTATATTGTGTGTTGTCATTATCCAGGGTAAAATCTGAAATTTCAACCAAAACAATATCAGTCATTTGTAGAGAACAGTCTCTATGTGTGTAAGCATTGCAAAGGCAAACACAGAGAGAGAGAGAGAGAAATGGGGTTTAACGTCCACTCGACACAATCTAGGTCATTTCGGGACTAACATATGGTTTTAAGTTTTTATTTCAATATCTCGCTTGCGCGTAGGGGTCTTTAACAGTGGGAGAAAACAGGAGGACCCGGAGAAAACCCACGACCCTACTGATGGTCACGTACAACCGGGGATTCGAAACCATGCCGGTTGACTCAATGACAGGCGTTATGATACAGCACGCACATGCTAACCATTCGCCCATCCAACCCCCTGCAAAGGCAAACCGGAAGAAGAAATTTATGCAAATTTTCTTCTTGAGCCTAGCTTATAGTTAAAGATGTGTTATGTGAGAGCTATATCTGCCTTTAATATGTTATTTATGATTTAGACATTTTTTCACATGACAAGCCCATAACCAACTCTCATGGTCATTGGATGGCTTGGATGTTAAATGAATTAAACCATATGCACCATTTAATCAGTTAACTTTGTTATCATGGCAATGACAATTGAGACTATGCTATTCTTTTGGCAAAACTTTCATAACTTTGATCAGAATAAAATAATCTCACCAAAATGTTTAATATATTCATTGTTCGTTATTTATTTTTAAACTATTAGAGCGAGAACGACCAGCTCTTCATTTAAATCTTACATAATGTATCTTTAAACAAAGCAATACTGTATAATCTTTAAGCTGAAGTTTTTAGGATTCTTAGTAATAATCAGTAAGGTGATATAAACCATTATAAATCCCATGGGTTCCATGATTTTAGTATGATACTCAGACTTTGAAGTGGTAATTACTGCATACTGACATTCAATATGTTCTGTGTTAATGTTAAGTAAAGGCACGTCTTGTGGATAAAAATTACCTTGTAACAATGCCAATAGATATCTTTGTTTGTCTAACATAAAATGTTCCTCTTCCTGAAACTTGTCAATCATTTGTAATTTCAAGTGTTTTGCTTGTAATTTTAACTTGGTGACATTTTAGAAGGTAAATGGAGATGATAAAGGTGTATGGCTTGTTAATGACATATTGTTATTGTGTGGTATGTACTTTAGCATGGTGATTTAACCCACGTCTCATTATCTTGGACTCATCAATAGCAAAGATAGAGGCTTTCAAGTACAAAGAAATTAATTGCTAAAAAAAAAACTAGTGTCCTAGAACATTGACTGACCAACAACATTCCTAATGGTTTTGTATTTTTTAAAAGATAAAACTGACAGGTTATCACTATCCTGAGAAATTTGTCCAGGAAACATTGTGTACCATGGTCTGTCAGTAAGTGATATTGGTCTTCCATTATATGGACTGCAGTATACCTCGCATAAATCGGATTCGTACAAGTCGGATCTTCACTCAAATCGGATAAAATCGTTTGGACCCTTAGATCTTGCACGATTTTCTTATTAAATTTCTGCGCGTAAGTTGGATTTCCTAAGTCGGATCTTCGCTCAACTCAGATCAAAATGTTCAGTCCATTTGATCTAATTCCGTCTTTTTTCCTTCGCCTAAGTTTGTTCACAACATGCCATTAAAAGTACGTCCCCCTCTGCCAAAAGGTCTGGCTGACGTCATTGAAATCCAAATACAGGGCAGCGCACAAATTTGCGGAACTCGGCCATATAAGACGAAACGAAATTGGAATTTTTGAAAAAATTTGATTGTAATTGAGCTAGACAAAGCAATAATTTACTAAAGTTTCTCAGCTTTTCAACGATTCTAATTTTCCCCCACCCCCAGCTTACCTAAATTTCGTTTCGTCTTATATGGCAGAGCCACGTAAATCTGTACACCACCCCCACATCTAGACCTCAATGGTGTCCGACACAGCCGTTTAGCAGAAGGGGACGTATTTTTAACAGCTTGTTGTGTTGCACATACTGAATTTAGTGAGGTAAGCAAGGTCTTATGTTCTCACTAAAATGTTCCTTTACATAGTTCAAGACTGACACACGACTGTTTAGCAGTAAAAAGTTGCCCAGTAAAATTGACTGGGAAATGATTTTACTTTGACAAGGATTCAATAGGATGGTTCCTGAACGTACAGGGCGATAATGAGACCTACGTTCAGAGCTGAGCTAGGTCTTCGGCTAACTCGGATCTTCACATAACACGGATCAAATTGGTCAGTCCATTTAGATCCGACTTAGGCGAAGTTTACTGTATTTAAATACATTTAAAAAAGATTTCTTTCTTGAAGTCCCTGTCCTGATTGAAACATTGAATGGAATAAAATCATGAGTCATATATGTCTAGTTGTGGTATATGATTGGGATTAACAATCACATATGATTGGGATTAACAATCACATATGATTAGGATTAACAATCATGTAAGATAATATATAGATTTCAAAACAGAAATTATTTGGATCCAAAAGATTGTCTTTGGAACTGATTGATAGTACAAATAAATAATATATAATTGAGCTTTTATGGGGTGTGAAGTGGTAACAAGTGATGCTGAAAACTGCAAATTATCCTCGTGGAGTTATATTCCATTCCATACTTTTCTCAAGTTTGGAAGTGGGAAGTACTTGTAATAACAAGTTTCGAGATTCTGCTATATGGCTAAATTATCGGATACCTTTATTGCTAGTTGGTTATGCTGTCTAGAAAGTAGTAGTTTGTTTTGTTTCGTTAGCTTTGGTATCTAGAAAGTGAATGTAGGTAATAATCCCCCCAATAAAAATCCTCCCTTTTGGAAAATAGGTAACAATCCCTCCTAATATAATTTTTGATGGCATTAACACAAAATATTATCATTGAAATACAAAAAAAAATGTTTTGCCGCAAAAACAGTTTTATTAAAATTAAAATTCCGACCCCCCCTCCCCGATTTAACTTTACCAGATTTAATTGATATTCTGATATTCTGATATTCTTGGCATTCCCTGGCTTAACTCTAACAGAAGAAACAGAAGAATAATGCCAATTTAAAAATAAGATAAGAATAATTTTTTTAGCCTGTTTAATAGTTTAATAATTACAGAGAAAGTTGTACAAAAATGTTCATAATTTCAAGATAGTAAGCCCAGAAACCGTGTTCATCAATTAATTGTCCATTTCACTTGTCAAATATGCAAAGTTCACCTTATTTTCATCCCACAGAAATACCAATGTGAAAGCACAGAAATTCCAAAGCACAGATAAACAGCATTCAGCAATTAATTGTCCATTTCTCTTTCAATTGCTAAGTGCTATGTTTATCCTATTTTCAACCAAATCACAGAACCGCTTTGTGGTATTTTGTTAAAAAAAATATTGAGAACAAATTTTAAAAGGAAAATATCTTGGTCAATTTCTCTTTCATTTTTTTGGGAAAAATATATTAGGTGGAAGTAAAAGTTTGTTTGGTAGGTTTTGGTATCCAGAAATTAGTAGTTTGTTTGGTAGGTTTTGGTACCATATCTAGAAAGTTTTAGTTTGTTTGGAAGATTTTAGTATCTAGAAAGTTGCAGTTTGTTAGATATGCTATCTTAAAAGTAGTAGTTTGTTTGTTGGGTATTTTGTATCTAGAAAGTAGTACATTTGGTAGGTTTTAGTATTTAGAAATTGTGTTGTTTTTTTTTTATTAGGAGTAATTTGTTTGTCAGGTATGTAGAAAGTAGTAGTTTGTGTGGGAGGCAATTATAATTTATATAGAAAGTAGCTGTTGAAAGAGAAATTACACTTTAAGTCAATGTGGGGTTCAAGTCAAATTGTCATATTTTTCAGTGTCTCCAACCATCATCTAGATAAGTCAAGGTTGTGTATAAGATGAATGGTTTTATTTTACTGCCATAGCATATCTTGTATCAATTGACTGATGTACACATAGGCGTACGAGCTGGGGGGGCTGGGGCGGCTGCCCCCCCATTTTGGGCACCAAATGCTGGGAAAATTTGGGCACACAATTGTACTTTGTAAAAGTTGTATACAAAAAATATTGTGTTCTTGAATGTGTCCAATTTAACAGCGAATTTATTATTATTATATAACATACTAAGAACCTAACTACATTTTTTGGGCACCAACCACCACCGCCCCCCCAGTCAAAAATTTCCCTGTACGCCTATGGATGTACATTGAACAAATGGCTCACAACATAAACTAATGTCAAATATTTAGATGCTTTATGTAAAACTAACTTCAGAAATATTCCAAGTTTTGTTTTTGGTTCATATGATTCCGGTTTTATTTCAAAATATCGGAAATATACTAGACAATATACTCACACTCTTTCTTTTCACACATGGCGATAATATGGTGATTACAAAAGAGAACACCAAGGTTACTAAAAATAAAAAAATAATTGAATAGAAGATGCCTGTTTATTGGATATGTAGAAAAAAGAAATACAAAAATGTTTTGAGGGAGTAAAGCAATTTCTCGATGTCACTGTTTTTGTTAATTTATAAGAAATATAATTATTGATTTAAACCAAGAAAAGTATGGTACATTAAACTTTTTATATACTACACTGCCACTTTATGCTCTCTTTGTGGTAGAAAGCATAAAGCTAAATCGTTGGAGAGAGTCTAAAATTGAAATTAAAATGATTGTATGTCTTATAGAAACAACACTTCTTCTGTTGACCTTGGGAAAAATTAATGTTTTCTTTTCTTGAATAATTTACTGATAATGTTCTTATCAAGTGATTTTCCTTGAATAGTTTATACATCCTTATGTTTTGTAGACTGTCTTTAATGGCTCCAACTGTTAAAGTAACAATCTCTTCAAAAATCGATGGTGAAATACTAATCACCTGTGTACAGCTTAATTGAGTTCCGTTTTCCTTTCATGACAAAGAAAAATTAATGAAGCATCTTTGTGGTGTTTTTTTTTCACTCTATTAATTTTCAAAAGTAAAAAAGACTGTAAGGCTGCAAAGAGTTACAGGAAATTGATTTGTGTGCAATATCTAAGACCACCTGATACCACTTCTCATTTACAAAGTTCACATGGCTAACATTACAAATTTTTCTGTTATGCCTCGGCCAATAAACTTTTAAAGAAGTCTATAGGCATTATTACTATAGAGTTTTAGATTTTTGCTGAAGAATCTGCAAGGGCGGCAGGTTTAAGCTTTTTGTAATAAGCACGCTGTAATGGTATTTTGAGTAACATGTCAAAAGACAAGTGATAATAAGTGATATGAAAAAAGAAAATTGGAATTTTCAAGGCAATGGAAGCTTAATGCCACTACTGTCAGAAGAGGGGGGGTTGAGTGAGTGTGTATCATAAGGTCTGTCATTTAGTCAAGTGGTGTGGTTTCGATTCCCTACTTTTACGTGACAAGGAGTAGTATCACCTATCCAACCTCATGGATTTTCTCTGATTTCCTCCCACTACTAAAGACCCCTACGTGCAAGCGAATTATTGAAATAAAATTGAGCCATATGTTAGTCCCAAAATAACATAGTTTGTGTCAAGTGGACATTAAAACCCATTTCTCTCTCTCACTTTTTGTCAGAAGTTTGCAAGACCTGTTGACTCAATTTGCAGTCCATTTAAAATTAGGTTCAGAATCTCTTTTGTTGTACTATTGTATGTTAAAATGGATACTAAGACAAAGGGAAAAATAAATTGTATTTAACCACAATTTGTTGTATTCATTTCAATTGTTACCTGTCAGATGACAAATAGTGAAAATTTGAGCTCTTTGAATTACATAGTCGGTGTGGTATCCCTAAATAATATATAGAGACCACACACTATCGTAAACAAGGACAAAAATGTAAATATGTCAAAAAATAATCCAAAAACTGACTAATAGCAGGACAGTAGGAAAATGGTAATGCTTTCAATGACAGTAATGAATTAGAAATCACAAGAGATGTGTCCATGGATCAACATTCTATCCTCCTGTTTAGTAATTTAAGATCTCTGTAGAAGCATCAGTAAAAACAAGATGAACATCTGAATACTGAAAAAAAAATGGAATGAACAGCAGTTGAATACCTATTGCTATTGATTTTATGGACAAGTTTGTGTGTTGAAAGGATAAGCTGATAAGATTTGTGTGTTGTTATCTTAAATATTCAGTATAATCCTAATGGTCAGCACCAGGCTTTAGGCTATAGACAGTTTCATTTACAGTTTCATAATTAAGAACCTGAACTAAGATATTGATGTCAAGTGAAATTTGAATTCGTACCACTATATAGATTTATATAGATATATTTCCTCAGCAAGAGCCTAAATACATACCCATTATTCTCAAAAATATATTCAAAGTAACAAGAAAAATATATTTGTAGCAAAAATAACTAACCCCATATGGCAAGATAAATAATTAATGCAAATCATTCCATGATTCTGTGGGGGCTGATTATACATGTTTGAATAAAAGAAAGTGATCAACCATATAGGGTGGGGCAGGGACCTCAATAAATGTCAAATTTATAGATCAAGTCGGCATTTCGCAGGATTCTGTTAGTTTTTCACTGAATTATGGCCACTTATTGACTTATAATCAATGGAAATTAAGCTTCGAGTTATTTGATTGCGTTTAATACAATACCCTCAGGATGCTTGTTTTTTTTTGTATTAGGCTACACAAGTGAATAAAAGAAAGTGATCCACCATATAGGGTGGGGCAGGGACTTTAATAAACGTCAAATTTATAGATCAAGTCAGCATTTCGCAGGATTCTGTTAGTTTTTCACTGAATTATGGCCATTTATTGACTTGTTGACTCAGAATGCTTGTTTTTTTTGTATTAGGCTACACAAGTTTATTTTCTTCCGTATATGATGTAATTGCCAAACAAAGTGTAACTAAAACAGATCATAGGGACTAATTTATTGACATTGTTTCGTGTGGTGTAGCATTAGGGTTCGCATCACCCTTTGGGGTCGGGCAGCTTGGTTATTGAGAACCCTTGATACACCAGAGAATCAACGTAAATAATTTTCCATTAGATCCTATTTACACCATTTGGACACAAGTGTTATTCAAATACTAACTTACACCTGAACACATCAGGACCCTTTTGTATTTGAAATTTGATTTTATCCAACGTACTGGAAGTCAGTTAGGACATCATAAGAAGTTTATGAACATGAAAGGTTAGCTTATAATAAAGGTAACATTTTACAAGTAAATTATGCATGATTATGAATGATTTTAAAATCCCCTGGATTTAACTCATTTAAACCTTTAGGCCAAACTGAATCAAGTCTATGAATGTTCTTTTGATATTGTATTCTATTAATTATGGTATATCAACTTATCTGAATATCAAATGCATCATTTTAACATAGTCAACGACAAAAGTTATTATCCGATCTCTATGAAATTGATATGCATCATTTGAGTTAGTGAAATGAAGAAGTCTATTGAATTTCAGCAATTTTCGTCAATTGATTCTAGAGTTATGGCCCTTGTTTTACTTTGTTGAATATTGTGAATGTTCGAACGGGAAGAGTCATCATCCGAAATTTATATGCATTATTCAAATTAGTAAAATGAAAAAGGCTGTTGAATTTCAACCATTTTGATATATTACTTCCAGAGTTAAGACTCTTGTTTCAGTTTGTAGCACTTTGTGAACCCTCAAAGGATGAAAATGATAATCTGATCTGTAAGAAATTGTCGTGTAAATTCCCCCCATTAACTACAAAAGATTAAATATGCAACAACCCTTGTTGACCGCTTGGACGATTTAACCACTGAGGGTGTATGTTTGTTTCCTGGCAACCTGTCTTTGAAATTTAAAGCAATAGATTTATATGATGAATTCATCACAAATTTATAATATAATGAAACATAAAAAAATATAATGATTCTAAGTATTGAAACTAAGTAATCTTATTTCCAGAAAAAACGACCCTAAGAATACTTAGGGAATTCTTCAATAAAAATCTAAATATTAATTAGCCAAATTGTTTCATGAATGATTGTTTTTATAATTCTTTTATACTTCATGAAATTTACAAATTAATGATAGCAATAATAGATTTGACTTTGATGTCGAACAGAAAGAAAATGGTATTAGCAGGAATACCTTTGATGATTCTCTATTGTTTTGATTAGTATATTACCCATCAAAGACTTTTACTTAATTTACTAAAATAGTTTGATAAATAAATGTGAAAATCTTCAAGGGAATAAATATCAATAGCAAATAGAACATAGAATGCCAATAAATAGTGTAAGTAAGGTCGCGAAACACTAATAAAGAATGTAAATAAATACATACATAGCAAGTGCAGGAGGACCACACTTGACGCAAACAAAACCAATAAGACAAACCTGCATTCAATCAAGACAAACTACACATACATTGCAAGAAATAACCAACAAAATTCAAATAATTGAATGGATCCAGGGGCTAGCTGTAAGCGTCCACTGCACTGTAAGTCACCAGTGCTCCAGACTTGGCTTAAGTAACGATGGTGAATCAATTAGTTGGGGGCTTAGAGAACCATATTTTTCATATGCAAAATTGTTCTGGGGACCACGCACAAACTAATGTTAATTTTCAAAAAATTCAAATTTTTTAGTATAACCTCTAGATATTTCTAAATAGGGAGTGATTATTAACAGGCTCGTAGCTAGCAGTTGAGCATGGGGGAACAGCCCAACCAATATCACTCGGCTTTATGGGGCACCCATACTGATATGGGTACGTTGGTCGTTGGCTTTGTATTGCGTCCAGTGGAAAGGGCATGGTTCAACGCTCAAGGATAGCAGCTGCCCCCCTTGTCTGCCCGCTAGCGATGGGCCTGTTCAAGTGACAAACTTAAGCTTTTTCATACTTCTTTCACTTCTCCGTTGAAGATGGTTGCTAGATTTCGAGCAAATTTGGTATGCGTCTTAAGACTTAAGGTACTATTCGGGTGGTTTTACTTTTAACAATGCTTTACAAAGATGCTGATGGGTGTACTTTTCAGGTTTCAGAACCTGGCAGCCTATTGATTGTCTCTGACATATGCGAAAAAATTGTTGTGACAAACAATATCTATAGTAGGTTCTCAGTCTTCTTCAACTAGGGAGCCAAGGTGGTGCAGGGAGTAAGACATTGGCTCACTAACCTGGAGGTCTGGTGTTGGCTCAGAAGGTTGGAATTTAATATAAGAGTAGGCCGCTGTGCTGTTGTCCAAGCAAAATTTCCCTCACAGTACACTGTATGGCGTATGCCCGTCTTCATAAGCCCAGCACATGCTAAACAGTAGAACTTTAAACCCCATTTCATTTCATTTTGCCTCTTCCACTAATCGGTACCTTATTCAGTAATTGAAACCCTTCAATAGAAATATGAAAGAAGTAAGAACAGTATGATTATAAATACACTTTTTTCTAGTTTCAAAAACAAAAACAAACATGATAATAATAATTTCTTCTTCAGACCACCGTTTATGTGCCTTCTGAGATGGCCCCCGTTTCTCGTATGTTGAGAAATCAATAACACAACTGCAGTCTGATTAAACTAAGGGCAAATACGTTGGTTGTGATCAGAAGCTACAACAGACACGTTACTACTTACTACTACTCTTTCTTCATATACGTAAGTATTATCTTTGTTTATGTTTATATCAGATCTTGCTGCAGACGTTTACGTCAAGCTTTATGACGTCTGGTCCTTGTTGAATAACTCAAAGAGCCATAGAGAGTCAGAATGATAGGAAATTGGAAAGATTCCATATTAGATAGCGTTGATGGAATGCCATGGACAGAGTTATTGACGATTCATGTTTTTATTTGTTATGGTACATTACAAGAATACCAGTATTATTATTTTGCTACATGTAGCTGAATCATATTCAGGTTTTGAATATCTTTTAGAGAACTATCTTCAAGCAAAAAGTAGGGCAATTAACAATTATTTTATTTTACCACAATACAAGAAACAAACACATCATTTACAGTCAAGTTAATTCGTTGCAATTGAATTCTGATGATGAAATGCTGTTTTTTTTTTATAAACATAACAAGTTTTAAAGACACCACAATCACCATATTAGCTCCATGTTTCATTTAAAGATAGGGTACTATTGTTGAGATTAATTTTTTGAAATGGGGTTAAAGGTCTCTTCATGTACAAAATCAAATGTTGTTATAATTGGCAGCAGGGTAGTCTGACATGATGGATTGTAGGTCATGCAGCCAGTCATTGATGCAGTTGTTGGTAGTCTGACCTCATGGTTATGTGTGACCAGGTGTGGGGGGTCATCTGCTAACTTTATAAGTTATCTCCAGTTTCCTGCTAGTCAAAATTGGTATCAGATTTTAGTTTGATATCCAACTTGTTAATTCATTCTTTTGACTACACATGGGCCGTGCTATCAATACTAGTACCTCCTTATAGTCTCTGTTACCAGAATATGTGTTGAAACTGATGAGATTCAGGAATATGAGGGTTTTCTATGTCTGAATCAAGTTTGTTCATGGATTTGGTCACATGATCTGTCAGAACGTCAGTGATATTGATATTGAAGATCATATTATCAACCTGAATATATTTATGGTTTGGTGTAACTGCAGGGAGACCACACCTCACATAAACAATACACAACACAAATTTACGGACGGGACACAGTATACACAGATCACTCACAAACAAACGTATATATCAGATCAAATGAACATGACCAGGGGCTAGTCATTTCCTAATATAAAATTTCTATAGTTTGAACTTGGTACCATTTGACTTAATATTAGCATTTGTCAGAACTATATATTGATTAATTTAGTGTTTGCTTAAAGGGACTATCCCGATTTCAAGAGAGTCTCAAAAATAAAAGTCCCAGTACGTATGAAATTTAAGCTCCAAAATATAGAGAGATGGTGTATTTACCTTCTCTCAAAATTCCAGCTCAAAATATTGAGTCGTTTGGACATGAACGTCAAAACTGCTTATCCGGACACGTAACCTTTTTAAGATTTCGGGTCAGTTTTTTGGTTGGGTCACCTGATAATCGATTCCCGTTCCTTGAGAGTGAATGCCCCATGTGCTCTAGTTGATAATGAAAGGTAAATTTCACCTACACATTATTTTTATAAAATTAAAGTCTGGTTTTATCCAGACACCGCATAATACAGCTTGGGACACCGGTCTCCATTTCCAGATGAAGACTGACGGGTTTAAGTTGTTTGAAAACTTATCACAAATATTGAGTTAGCTAGGGGATTTTAAGGGATTTTAACACAAAATTAGGCAGTTTTATTTTCCAAAAAATATCGGGATTAGCCCTTTAAACATGTTGTCAATTATTAGTTATATTAATATACTAATCAATTAATCTTATTTCGAATTCCAACTTTCAAGGGTTCTTTTACGTACACGCCAATGTGTACACAGGACCTTGGTTTCTTGTCCCATCCAAACAACTATAGGTTGTACCTTGTATGGCCCTCCATCCTACACTTCTGACAAGGGGGAACTAAGCCAACAAATCTTGATGAACTTTCTCGGCCAATGCAGGGATCGAACACAGGACCTCCCGGTTGGCGAGCCAACGTACTACTCACTGAGCCACCTTGCCCGTGAACAATAGGCTTATAAATCGTAAACTATACATGGATTAAAATATTACAGTTAACACACATTATCCCGTTAAGTCTCATTCTTATTAGACTATTTATTAATAGGACTATATCTATGATCTGAGATGTCATATCAATATATTGTATTAAAACATATTTAATTAAACCATAGAAAGATAATTATAAGATCTTGACAGACCGTGGTGACAGTTGTCTCAAAAATAATTATTGAGATAGTGGTGTCACAAAAATCCAATTCCATTAATTAATTAATTAACTTTATGAGAAACAGGAAACAAGACACAATAGAATGTACAATATGGTTTTAACTTACCTGTACTTTGGTTTTTACTTCCTACTGAAACCTTTCATGTAATTTTCTTTCACTTATCCAATTTAATCTTTTAGAGCAATTGACTATAACACATAATATTAATGGAAAAGAGTTACTAATTCATTTGGGCAACATTACGAAGGTATTCTGGCAACATTATCAAGCTAATATGTGCTATTAGTTTGATAAATTGATAGAATACCATCGAAACATTGCCCACATAAATTGATAGCTGTTTCCATAGTATGTGTTATAGTTTATTGTTCAATATAGGAATTAGTAAAAAAAAAATGTTAACATTAAACAGTTGTGGGAAATAACTTATTTATTAACATGTACATACTTCTAAGGTTATTCTATTTGTCCTAGTTCTTTCTCTTGTTTTAGACCTTACACATTGAATAAGTCTATGACATTTCTTTATTTCTGTGCTCTCATCTGATTCTGACAACTTTCCCAAGAAAGTGGTTGATATCTGTTGCAATGATATAGAAGATGTGGATATTCTCAAAGATTAATGGTTCCAATTGAAAGCTTTATTAAAATCATTGAACACCTCCCATTAACATGCTGAAACTGATGCCACAACGCAACTTAAACACATCATTCCATTCCTGAACATGTTTATAATTCTATGGTTGTCTTGACCATCCCAGTCTATAATTGGAAGGGTGAACCTCCCATCAGTCTGTGTTGAACTATGACACAGAAGAGTCATAGCAATTTGGTAGTGCTGATGATAGAAGTTGATTTACTCAGAAATTTGATTTTTCGGATATCATTAATTTTTTTTAGTGCAGCAAAGGCATGCAAACGTTAACAACCAATTTGATTAAAGTTTACTGAACAACAATTTGATATTTGACAATCATTGCTAATCATTGAGTGATTTCTGATCTGAGATGGTACTTTTCTGTTTATACTACACTCTATATTCAAATCAATAATATTTTTTTATATATTACCAGTTTAAAACTAATTATAATTGTGGGGTTTTTATACAATGAAAGGAGTTCATGAATCAAAGATAATGAAAATGGCAAAGGATTTTATGATTTGTGTAATCAATGGAAATAATTTTTTTTATACTAGTTGAAAAGATTACATAGAAGATGCACGAATAACAATTATTGCTCTTTGAGATTTAATTTTCTGGTAATGATTTTGATCAGGGCATAAATTAATTAAAGATGTTACTTCAAACGGATACTAAGTAGTTTTGCATTTAATTTTTAAAAAGCCTCAATCCTTTTTTCTGGTTTCTAGTTCAAGAAGTAATTGAATCTAATTTTAGAATTAATGATATCATGAAGGAAATGATATGCACCATGAAAATGCGATTATTCTTTATTGCATCTTGAAGCTTCATTATGCCACATTAAAGATTAGATATATCGTTTAAGACCATACATAATGAAAAGTAGTTTTAATAAAAAATATTTTGATTCATAGATTATTATATTGATTAGTTCTATCCTGTGGCCATTTGAAGTTTACATAGCTTTATTTAAAGTGTCTTAGAGACCATGGATTGGTGGGGGGGGTTGTAGTGACCAGGTGGCAACCTTCAATTAGCATTTCTTAACACCCAGTTAAATTTAACATTGACATCAATAGAAAATTGACTGACTAATTGGAAACTGATTATATTAAATTTCAACCAGTATTCACTGAATCTGGCAGGTTTAGTGCAAAATGATTTTTGAAAATGACAATTTTTTTTTGGGCATAAGCTTATGTGACATAATTTTCTAAAATAATATTTAAACTTGTTCTAATATTCATTGAATCTCATAGAACTAGTACAATAGTGTTTATACAAATGACCATCGATTTCTTCTTGGTATGTATGATCATTTGACATGTGCCAAAATATCTAAACGCTTTCAAAGATTGAATACCTTTAAACCAGTTGATGCATTCATTTGCATGATAATAATGACTTCACACAATACAATATTAATCAACATTTGCTAATGGCTTTGGCATTTTGCAGGTATAATTGTGTAAACATAGAGGTTTTATAATGAATAATGGTAGAATCAGGTTGCAAAGCATACTATGGTGATACTATAGATGTAGTTTGGTTTCATGGGAAGAGTGTCATGACAATATCATCATGTTTAGCTGTTAAACAGATTTTGTAATTAAGGAAATATTTGTGATTTAGATATTACATGTAATCTTATTACATGTCCTAAAAGTCATAAATATTATAGGAGCTTGCCCAGATTTCATTGATTAGAAATGTGTTAAAGTCTGGTATGCAAATCAAGTAAAGAAATTGCCCTGTTGCTGGCAGGTTGGATGGTCGAATGGTTAGCACGTGCACACTGTATGATAAGGTCTGTCATTGAGTCAACTGGCGTGGTTTCGAATCCCTGGTTGTACGTGGCAAGGAGTAGGGTCGTCTATCCAACCTCCTGGGTTTTCTCCGGCTCCTCCATTTTCCTCCCACTGGTAAAGACCACTACGCACAAGCGAATTATTGAAATAAAATTGAACCATATGTTAGTCCCGAAATGACCTAGTTTGTGTTGAGTGGACTTTAAACCTCTCTCTCTCTCTCTCTTTGCGGTATTGCTTTGTTTCAGTTAATGAAAACAGGCGGATGATATTTCTGTACTGTCTGCTTTATTCAGAATCCATATATGCTGGGAGGATCACTAATATCATTCAGAAATGATCGCCGAATTTGCTTAAAGTGGTTATAATAGTGGAGCCATACCAAACAACAAGGTCTCAGGAGCGCCGTAAATCCCCCAG